CACGAAAGTGCACGGTCAATAACTGTATAAACTAAAACAAAAAGACGTGTGAATCAGTGAAAAAGCTTCGAAAAATTTAGTTTGTCTATTGACCAAATCGACGTTTGTACTTAGTTAACCCCTTTACAGTTCATTGAAAGATGGAGTGAAACGTGTAATCAAGCTTTAAACAGATATTGTAATTTCATTTGGTGCACTATGAGAAAAGGTACATCCTGTTGTCAGTTGCACCTCGGGGTTAAGGTGCTGTCATCGAAAAATAGTACTTGTCCTCTCGTTTCTCAACTACTTACAACTTTGTTCTTTTTAGTTTCAGTGTATCCCCAGTGTTTATTTCAATCGCATTTGTGGCGGAAACGTCTATTATACGCGATACATCGATCAGTCAAAAAAGCAATGAAAACTGAGTCCTATAAACATGAACATGCATACCTTCAATTCGGTCAGTCGATCTTCGAGCAACTTTTCACGATTATGTAGTTCTTCTACTTTTGCAGAGGCGGACAACCGTTTTTCGGACAATACACGTGCTGACGATTCCCCGGCTGCATCTTCCGCACGCAGACGTTCTTTTATTTCGTCCACTTTTTGTTGTAGCTCATTCATTAGAGCACGCGTTCTAGCTACGTCCTAGGAGAAAAAAGAAATGGAGTAAATCTCGCGGTTATTTTACAAGTAATCGTGATGAGGTGCGCGGAATGCTATCGTGCACACTGATATCTGAAAATTCTTGGTAGCTAAAATAATTCAGCTTGATCAAATTTGTTATGGTGATGATTCAACTAATCGAGGCATAAGAAAAACACATGTATCGTCATTGCGACCCGGCTGAAGTGTTTTATCTGAGAAAATGCCTTCCCAAGGTAAGGTACTGGTACCGATCTAATCATATGTCGAGTTGATGTGAATTTCAATCCAGTATCAAAATTACTGGTTGTTATACACGAAATTTATTCATTGCGCTGTACTCTCAGTGTGGTACAGATTGTAGCAGCTCCACTAAGCAATACTCATCGACAAAAAGCATGACGATCGTCGTAACTCCAAACCACTTGTCAAAACTGATTCCATTCACGACGAGACAGCACCTTGACGTGATGTGACGGCTTGCACGCCCCAATGACCGTGCGAGCTATACCAGAGGGCTCCTTAGCCGCAGATCCAATCACGCCTGAAAGGTCTAAGGGTAGAGGCCAGCTGCTTGGGCACCTCCTGGCTTCCTTCGTCTATCCACACCCGCCCCTGAAGAGGTCACTCCAGTAAATAAACACGGTGACTGACAGTTTACCGGTCAATAAACCCCCGTTAGATGAACGTAAAAGCGGGGTACCTGGGGCTTCATCTCGACGGTGGGAAAAGTTTTCGTACTTCTTTGGACAGCTAACGCCCGCTCAAGCTGGGCAGAACCCGACCATTAAAGTGCTGTCCCGTCCCAGTCCGCTTGTCTCACTGGGGGTACATGAGGNGATTTAGAAAAGTGGACCGTCAACCAGCGAACAACACATCGTCATCATCATTAACGTATAGTGTAAAACAGCGGGTCGAACTTCAATGATTACCGCCAAACTCATATTGCATACATGGTGAGAATGTTTAAGGATGATAGGGATTGGATTTACTTTTATGGACGGGAAAAGAAAGCGAACCTCTATGGTCAACACAGAGTACACAGTTTAACTGTGCATACATACTGGTTGAAGCATTCTGGACTGATAAGTGAGAGCAAGATCGAAAAACACTCAACCGAAATGAAAAGGCTTGGCGTGACAGGTCTCCAGAAGCTCCCACACGGGTGCTTCCTTTACGCTCCCGCGTTGGATTTACGCCCAATGTCTTGTGGGTCAGACTTTTGAGTCGAAGGCTCTGAGTAGCGTTCCCAAAGAAAAAACCGTCGTCCGTGAGAGCTACCGCGAAGTACACAAAGTTTTAGGTACTCGTTTGGAAAACTCTCCCCCTCATCTGTCCACTTCATCTTCTCACACTCAAACCTTAGAAGATGCATCCGTTTTGCGCCACCCATGGGACACTACTCAGCATTCAACTAATGAGGTCAACCACTCAGAGCCTACCGAATCGTTAAACAGGCTGCCTTAGCTAGAATTTTTGAAACTTTCCATTCAGATGTGTGCTGTGTCTTCGAAACAGGCATATAAGACTTTACTTCAATCAGTTTCCTGCGTTTTTCTGATCCAACCTCATCCTCACACTTCACTCTTCGTGTGTTACGCAATTTGGCATCCGAAGCTCGCGGTGTTGAGATTGCGCTGGGTGTCAAGGCCGAACGTTCACCTCTCAGTTCAGTACGGATCATTAGCTACAGAACGAAGCATTGAGGCTTATTCGTCGTATCCGTGTATGTAACGACTGATTGCACTTCGTCAGGAATAAAAGAACTGTGCAAGGACCTCTCCCAACTGCTCCAAAGTGCTCGGTCAACGGACATCGTGGTAGTCTCTGGAGACTTCAATGCTCAAGTGGGATCGCTGGAGGAACCAGGAAGGCTATTAGGTGATTCTCATGCAATCCCAGCTAACCGGACAGACAACAGAGAACGCTTACTCCAACTTTGCGCTGACTACGGACTTTTCTGGATAGTTTGAGTGCTAGTGTAGTCATGTTCGGTATGTGTTTTGCACGTCCAAAATGTTATTTTGGCTGAGACTTTTATTTCTAGGTATTTCGACGCTGTGATACGTTTATTGAGAGGACAAAATGTGATTAGGGATAAAAAATCAGTTGTCCGTGATCGAACACCGCTGTCTACGTCGCATTGCACGAATCTACTGGGGCAATCGAACGAGTAATGCTAAAGTTAGGTGTAGAGTTTTAGGTGGTCAAGGTCGGCCAGTGGATCAAGTGGTAGACCTCCATAGATTACGTTGGTTGGGTAATTTGTTACACGTCACCAGTTAGGTTGCCACGGCAACCTTAAGGATTATCATAGCAAGAGATAAACGATAAAATATTGGGAGACACGCATTCCCGATTGGTCGGAAAAAGAGTAGTGACAACGTTGCAGAACACATTTGACGGATAGGTGCAAAATATATAAACAACTAAACATACCAGTGCACGACGCAGACAGAAAAATGGACCCTTCAAAGTTCTATTAAGATTCATTCAAAACTTATTTGTAATTGTACCATTTGCAGTTGTTCCTTTTCATAATACGAGAGCTGAGCAAAAAGCTTCCGGAAACGTAGTACACGTATGAGGTGCAGATGATCGCGCAAAGAAAACGTGAGCTGTAATCTATTGTGAATGTTTTTCGGTAATTGGAAATCCCAGAACCAAATATTAACAGCCAAGCACAACTCACAAGTCCTAAGGGTCACCATACTCGAACGGTAAGGATGAAAATCAGCCAGTCGCTGGAGAGCGATGATTTTTTACTGCTACAAATGTGGTTTAAAGAAGCAGCAGAGTGCTGATCGTTCAGAGACTGCATTTGGTGATGACGCGCCATCAAGAAGCACTGTGATGTAGAATTTAATACGAGTCACCAACAGCTTCAGTGGAGGCCTTTATTGAACTGGTCGAAGGCTTACCCCCTTCGATATAATCGAGCTGTTTCACCAAGTGGTTTGAGAGCATGGAATTGTGTATGGAAGCTGATGAAGAATACTTCGAGAAAATGCAATGCTTATCTTTGTGTAACAAATAAAAGTTTTTCTGCATCCGGTATATATATGTACCTCACACACGTCTAATGCCAGACTGTGCCAAACAAATCGTAGTACAACAATTTTTATGAAGAGAAATACGTTCCATGATTCGCAAGTGGGCCGAATTCTGCCGGGTTTCCCAGGCCAGGGCGGGTGAATTTTCTTGAGGATTCCACAACCGAAGCCTTTGGCTAGCCAAAGCCTGACCCGCAAGGCAGCGGGGCGGTGTGAAAACCGCAATCAATTGGGAGCCGATGTCCAATTCATCGGATTATTCGCATCCGGAAACGTTTTGCTCAGCCCTCGTGCTCTTTGATGTTAATCCGCTGCATGCGGAGATATCTGACTACACAGCCCCGGGAACGAGGTGAGTAGGGAGAAGTGTTTGCTGAGATCGCGTGGTTAGGTTATCATATGATGAACTAGCGTACTACTGCAACACTTGTTTTCGTTCACAGGAAACTTTCAGGGAATACGAAAAGCACTTACGAGTTTTTCAATTGAGCTATGAGTTTCCACAATAGAATGGCCGATGGACACGACGCGATTTTCAGTGGCCTGAACAGCAGAACGAAAGCAATTCAGGTTTTTCCGGGCGGCTTTGTGCACTGCGGGTAAATCCTTGCTAATATCGAATCCAGAATGGTATGTGCGTATTTCCAAATCGCAATCTTTGGCCGTTTGCTCAAATCCAGGTGCCTAAAGCAGAGATAGCGAATTCTGTAAGTTTCACCTAAAAATAACAAAACGTGTTACGCATATAGCATGCATATACGCGAAAACGGAGTCCTTTGTCGATCACCTCTTCCCAATGAACAGTCGCAAACAGTGGCGTTCATGTATCTTCTCAAAATCTTTGGAATCTTAATCCACCGGAATTTGCCATTTTCTTTTCGACTCTACTTCAACCTTCCGGTCTTTTCGCTACTGCTTCATCTAAATGGGCCGTCGAAAGACAGCAACCAAAACCGGAACACGAAAGTGCATGGTTCATGACAAAGACAAGGTTCCATGTCATGTTAACTCCAATCCTGCGCTGTGTGCAGCGCTAAGCTTCCTTGGGTTTACCTACCCTAACGGACAATTACTACTCTTATGGCTGCTACCGTGTTAGTGTTGATGAACAAAATAGAGTCATTCAGGTGAGCCGGAATGTGTTCAGTTCACTATGTACACTCATTTTAACCATGAACTTCCCTGCAGTAGTTGGTACAGCGGTCAAGCCAAGTAGTATATGCTTTAACATCATCCTACGGTGAAGTGAACTGCGCTGATCGCTGCCAAACTCGCGATGCACTCAAAGATATTGAGAATCCGTAAGGTGAACAGGGATTTGGTCGGTTTTGAGGGAGGCGGAAAAAGGTAAACATCTATGGTCACCACACCAAGTAAACAATCTAGTTGTGCATACGTGCATAAGTATTCTGACCCGATAAGAAATAACAAAAAGAACGCCACTGCTATCTGTCCGCTGCCATGGCCTTCAATGTCTCCAACCAACAAGTCGCAGTCTTTCGAATCCCAACCTGGGACACGGAAGACACGTAATCTACTAACAGTTCTATGTTTTTCTTCGTGCCTTGTTTTCACGTTATCTGTTGATCTCCATGTGGTTTTCTTTAGCCCCGAGCGGCTACAGCGAATATAGCGCGATGCGGTAGCGGATAGCGAAGTCTACCACTCTGAACTCAATGCCCTAGCGAATTTATCCCAGATAAACTTCCCAATACGAGATGGCGTAAATTCAGATTAATCATCTGCTCGTTCCGTCTCACATGAGCTAAACCATTTAAACACTAACGATCGAAAGCCCCTGGAAATCTTCCACTCGAAAATTCAAGGTCTCATAACCATCAAGCAAAAGTAAACGATTGGTAGCGAAATATACACGATTTCTCAACTTCAGTGAAACACCGCGTCTACACCGAAGGTGTTTCACTGGTGAAACATGCCATTCAGTTTGGGATAGGTGGCGAAAGTAGTAAATCTCAAAAACCTATGAAACACACATACAGAGAAGCCCCAGGAACTAATCATTTCTGGAACTAGATTCAACATTGATTCAACAGGGCAATTGGCA